TTGGGGGTTGAGCGAGTTTATTCAAAGGAATCCACACTCAAATCGATCCATCCGAGTTTAGGCACGCTCTGGAGGTAAGGAGATGCGATTCCCCTTATATTAAATTGAATTTCGTATGAATTTTCTTGTGATTGAAAATCTAGGGAATTAGTGACGGTTTTACAGGGTTTTGGACCTTTTGGTTACGTAAATAAGATAGTCACTAAATTGCAAAATTTCCAAAATAGTAGTTTTAAACAATGAATATGAAATTTTAGTTTGATCATTTTTAAAAATAGAGGAAGTCTAGTAGAGTCCTCTTAATTAATTTGCGAATATTTAGTGGTTAAATACTATTTTTAATTATTTATTAGCCGTATATTTTTAGTTAATTAAATTTCTATAAGTTATTTTCGAAATATTGGATAATTTTCATGAGAATTAGCATTCCTGATCAAGTAGGGAAATTATAAATTGGAACTTTCGGAAGGTATGAGTTAGGTTAAAAATTCATAGAAGGGGAAATTAAATAGGAAAAGGCTTATTTTAAAAGGGGTTTTTAAACTGGTTATTAGACCGTCTAAAATGGTGGTGTTGATAGGATATTGAGGTAGTACGTCGAGAAGGGAATTCTTCAAGCAAAGGGTCAAAGAATGGTCTTTTCGAGGTGAGTGTAAAGGGGTAAAATCTTCGTCGAGATCGTTTCAAAAGATCGGATTGTTTCAGGAGATCCCACATTCGCATCCAACTTGCTCTATCCATCCAACTCACTATGGCGCGCCAGTCCCTCAACTGTCTATCCACCAAAACCACAAGGTGATATGCATACTTAACTGTGAACACCCCGTCACCCGTACCGTGCCAAATCGACGTATCTCCTATCCCCACATGGGGTAAAGGAATCGCTTTAATGGCGCGAACTATCTCAAGTGGAAACAACTTCACAAGAGTTTGCTAGCACCATCTTCCTCCCCTTGGAACCATAAGCTCTGCCACCTTAGGGTCACTAACCTCCGAAATTGCATGAGGATTACAAGAAGAATGATGTGGGTGAGAACAAGGGACCCAGCTAGAATGCTAGATAGAGGCCTAAAGCCTATTCCCAATCTGTCACCACAAGCCTCTTTGGAGAAGGTGTCAGCTATAGAGAATGCTCTATCATCCCCACGATGGGTGATATCTCGCAGTCGCTAAAAGGAACTATCCATTGGGGAAGAAGCATCTAGCTCATGAGAGGAGGAAGCTTCAAGCAACACTCGTCTGAAGTCCAACTCGAGTTGGGAGAAGAAATTTGACGAAGGTTGTAACTTCGACTCTGGAGAAGAAGCATCCTCTGAAACATCTTCAACATCAGTTATGATGGGAAAGGAGCAAAGAATGGTCACCTCAAAATGCATTTCGGTACAACATCTTGATCCATCGTGTAGTGTATACCAAATTTACCTAGCCCTAAGATCAGGATTGTATTTCCTCGAGCCTCTCACAGAACCCTTACTTCGGAAGCAAGGTATGGTTCTATTGGAGAAGAGGTCGGATTAGGAGCTTGGGGTTCCTCCGGTTTTGTAGAACTTACGTGCGAAAAGTAAAGCAAGTGCAGAAAAGTAAATCTACTCTACTAGAGAAGTAAGAGAGCAAAGAAGGAAGGTGTTGCATAGGCATCGTTACCCCCAAGTTTCCTAACCATGCGCACTTGATGATCGGAGCATACGAGCAGCCGATTTCTTATTCGTTATATCCCACCTTCTATTGAAAAATTTACTCGAACTAATAAGCGACAAGATCCCTTTGTTCATTGAGGAGACACGTCGTTTGATTGAATGAAGCTCGACTGAGTAAGAGTTCTATTTCTAATCTCATCCGAAAGGACTAGGATTTTGATTCTTACACCTCAAAGGTTAAAGACTGCCTAAGCGAGTCATTAGAATCAACAAATAACAAATAGAGGAAATTAAGCATCACATATATGAAATTGAAATAATCGTATTAACCTAATCATCGAATTTACATGGCTAGAACCCCTAGCGATCATGTACCAAAGAAACTAAAGAACTTAGCCAACATGGGGAGACTGTACTAGGCGTTCATCGTCAAAAATGGAATGACTCCCAGAGACCAAAAAATTCGACTGCCAGAACAGAGAAATCATGTCCAGCGGCACTGATTTTGCCTCCAATTTCCCCTCGAAGATGGCGTCGCTATAAGTCACGAGGGTTATTCTGTCGACAGAGTAACGATCCTTCCTTCACCTCTTGCCTCCTCTCTTCCGAAATCTAGCTCTAAATCCCTAATCATATATCTTCAATTAGGCTTTCTAAGGGGGAAAATCGCCCCTACAATGTCATTCGGCCAATCTGAATCATCCAAACTCGTGGCCAGTGAATCAGAATGCTTTGGACAACTTCCTGACAAAGTAGATATCTCTCCCAAAATGATGATGGGTTCTCCTTTTGTAACATCTAGAACCTTTTCTCGATGAAGATATTGTCAGTTTTGGGCCTCAACCCTCACGGTTTTTAACGTGGGGTGCAATTCAAGGTGACTTCCCATAAGATTACCAATCCTTGTTGTACTCCACCCTGACCACGTTTAACTTCAGATTTCTCACAAGAACTCCTCCATTTCACCGCAAAACGCATCTTGTCATTTAAGGTCGGTTTCTTACTTATGAACCATGGATCTCTCTAGTGCTTTGTCGATGTGGGATTTGCCTAAGGTGTTACTCCTTTTTTTCTTTAATAAATCGGCTCTGTTGGCGCCTATTTTTTTGACGCTTGGTCTCCGCATATTTTCTCCAACAACTTGGACTTGATGTCCTCTACGGCTCCAAGTTGCGCACTAGGCTTCTTGACCCTAAAAATGTGCAAAATGCTACCCAAAAGAGCATGAATTGTATAAAAGAATCCTACAACTTCTAGAACACACTTGAAGAAATTCAATGCATTATGAAGAATGAAGATAGTGATGGGAAATGTAAGCACATCTGGTCACAATACCGGGCTTTAGAATAGACACTTTCACGTATCATCAAATAATCCCACACTTGAACATTGCTTGTCCCCAAGAAAATCGAGGCTTGACATCCCTCTCCTTACTAGATCTTACAATGACATGTGATTTTCGATCTTAGGTAGTGGATTATAAGAAGCTTACAAGGTCAACCCTTGCACTTAAAAACCTTAGATCCTGGCAGTGACGCTCAAAACGTACTTCGTAATTAAGAAGGAAATGATTCGCTTCTCACGAGATGAAGTTCTCTTCTTCTTTCTCGAGTTTCTTTTACGAGTATTTGAGGCGAAATCTATGTATTTTGATTAAGAGGTATGTGCATTCCTGCCCACATGACATGAGTCTTTTTTATGTTTTCCTTATTAGGACGATTTATCCATGTCGCATTACACTTTTTGTGCCACTCTATACCACACCCCCTTACTTGAAAATTTTCTCATCTTGAATGATGGATTGCACCCTTACTCTCTTCGCGACCATAGTCAACCCCACGTGTAAGAACTTCGGTTAGCTAAGAATGAACCTTTTGCTCTCACTCAACTAAGACATATAGCCCTTAGTCGCTCATGGTTAACCAACTCGATCGACCATCCTTCTTAGAGGTGAAATTGAAGTCCTTTGCCTATTATTATTATTTATTTCCCATAGTGGGGAGCATGCTCTGCATCTACTAGAGATCTAGGTAATATTACCACATTGAGCATAGACATGTATCCTCAACGGAATTGCAGTAATAACCCAATTCATTAGGAGTTCCATGAACTCGTGTCCTAGGGGATACTAAATCCACAACCCTTATATTCAGTTTGAAATTACACTGAATCCCCGAAAGATGACTAAATCCACAACCCTTATATTCTTTCATTTGACTATTCTCATCAGTTAGCCATTAACCGTCGAATTCGGTAAAGTTTTGTTTAAACGAAAAACCATGACTGAACTTCCATCCCTACTTAAGATTGTGTTTTCTTTGATGTCTAACTAGGCCACGCCCCTTTTTTGTATCAGATGTAGAGTACACACTAGTGTTAGTCTGACAAAGATGGAATTTTCTACTGTTAAATGTTGTTTATTGACATTATTCTATGAAGAACAAGAAAACTATTAGTTTTTTTATATCTATCTGGATAGAAATTAAATTTGGCGTGTTTTGGAAGTGTCTTTTAAATAAAGGTTGATAATATTCAGATAACATAGTTAGAATGTTGACGGCCGTATGATTACTCTGGGGAGAAAATGAACTATTATCTCCTATGATTACTCTATCTGTGTTGTATGAATATTTAACTGTGTTGTATCAATATAATCTCCTATATAGCATTGGTGCTATAAGTTTTTGCTTTTATGATACAACTTGAAATTGTACCTTTAACGTTATGGTACAACTGTAGATTATACCTATACTTTTTGTACAAATTTTTTTATGGTACAACTTGAACTTGTACCTTTATGTTCTAGTACAACTTCAAGTCGTAAAGTTGTACCATAACATAATGGTACAAATTCCTTTATGGTACAACATAAACTTTTATATTTAGTGTTATGGTACAACTTTAAGCTGTACATTAAAGCACCAATGCAATATAGCATAGTGCTCATATTTAACTAGGTATTATGAATATTGTCGGCCCTTCTATGAGAATGAACGTCCAAAATATCAATTTATTCGAGGGAGAAAAAATTAATAGAGTGTCTTTTACAAAATATCACCAAAAGATAATGTGTAGTTGTCGAAAAAAAAAAACAAAAAACACATAGTTAAGGGCTAAATTGCAAGATTGGTCACTTGAATTACTAACAAATTTTACGTTAGCCACTAGAATTACTTTATTCCATTCGTAGTCACTTAAATTAGGTTAATATTCCAAGTTTGGTCACTGGCCGTTAGTCTCTGTTAACTTTTGCTGACGTGGCGTTCAACTATAATAGTTGACCGTTAAAAGAGTGACGTGGCAATTAAAAATTAAAAATTTCTATTTTCCACCTCGGTTCATTAAAAAATAAAATAAAATATTATTTTTTTGGGCGAGTTTTCCATCACATTCTCTCATTGACCATCGACGATGGCCTGCCGATTCGAAGCTCTTCTTCTCAATCTCCTCATCGTCTCTTCTTCTTCTTCTTAGAATTCGTCCTCCTCTTCTTCTTAAAATTCCTGATCGCCGTCGACACGATCTCTTCAACGGCCGCAGAAGAAACTGCCTTCTCTTCACAAATGCCAAACTCCCTGCAACTCTCCTCTATTTCTTCAATTCCAGATGGCTCCTTCTCAATTAAACGAACGGATTCATCCAACAAATCCTTCCCAGCCACAGATTTTGCCTCCTTCATTTCACCATCGCTCTTCTCAACACCATTACCAAACTTCGATTCCAATTTCACCGGCGAATTCACAACTTCTTTCTCAGAATTTCCAGCGAATCTCAGCTTCCCAATCTGAATTGGGGAAACAAATCTCACTCTTTCAGATCTTCCCTTCTTGCTCACCTCACAATTCCCTCGTTAATCCCTTCATATCTCAACTCCCTCCCCCGAATCGGCGATTTCTTGACTCCATCGGCCGACGCACTCAACCTTGCCAGCTGAATTGGGCCCTCGAACCTCTCCAACTTCCACGTTTTCCTCTTCCCGCTGCTTGCCATCGTTCCCTCAGCGAGATTCCTCGGCGACCTCCTCGATGTTGTCGCTGCCATCGCCGGCGGCAGCGGCGGTTAGAGATTCTCGTCGTCGTCGGCATTGAAGACCTTGAACCCACCTTTGACTTCGTCGAGCTTCATGCTGCTCTCCCAGACAAAGCCAGCTGCCACAACCACACTACTGGGTTTGTTATTATTTACCAACCCTGCAGCAGCAGGTACTGATCTTCTCCTTCAACTGGCCTCCATTTCCTTTTACCTTTTTTTTCCACTTTTGTTGAGTCTTCTTTCTGGGTAATTGAGTGCTAACCTAGTAGGACATGGTGGCCTGGAGAGCACAATTGAGTGGCAATAATGGACGATGATGGGAGCGTGGCGGTTGTCCGCCACCGTCATACCTACCCTGTTGCCGGACGTCCGAATCGCCAGGCCCTCATCGTTGGTCAATGAGAGAATGTGATGGAAAACACGCCCCCAAAAAAAATATTTTATTTAATTTTTTAATGAACTTGAGGTGGAAAATAGAGAATATTAATTTTTATTTTTTTATTTTTAATTGCCATGTCACTCATTTAACGGTCAACTATGAGAGTTGACCGCCACATCAGCAAAAGTTAACGGAGACTAACGGCCAGTGACCAAACTTGGACTGTTAACCTAATTTAAGTGACTACGGATGGAATAAAGTAATTCTAGTGGCTAACGTGAAATTTACTAGTAATTCAAGTGACCAAACTTGCAATTTAGCCCATAGTTAAGATTTCCAATTAAAAAAATGATGTTTGGATCCCACCTTTTCTGGTAAGGCTGGGCCTAGGGGTCTTTGGCATCTTGGGCATGCTATTATCATTTGTGTGTGGCCTAGCCAAATACAAGAGAAGTTGTTCCAACTTTTTGTTCATTGCCATGTTTCTAATAAACGATCAAAAGTAACATTTAACTGTGAATTAGGACAAAGCTACGGACTTTCAATCGAAAGTGGCAACGTGTATTAGTGATGGTTGATTGTCACATTCTTGTTTTTCGATAAAAAAGAAAAACTTAAAGTAATAGACTTTCACGTTTCTACAATAACCTATGGATTCTTTAATGCCTCTATTATGTAGCAAGAGAGGATATAAATGATTTTTTTATATGAGTTTAAATGACTAAACGAATCAATGAAATACTAGTACTTTAACGTTATAAGTCTTTTCGAGCATGATTACAACTTATTGTACAATTTGGGCTCATAATGAAAATTGTGTTTTGTTGAGCAAGAGGGTACCAAGGCGGTCTTTTTTTAGCAAGAATCACAGTCTTACCTTCACCATGATACGGACCCTAATGGAGTAATCCCTTATCTCAGATCGGAGATGCTAACGGAGTGGGAATCGAAGTGGGGGACCTCTCTACCGCTCTTTCGTACCCTTCGCTCAATGAGAAAATGGGTCAGATTCTACAGAATCAAACCTATGGGACTTATATTGACCATAGGCTAACGCGCCTTTACTGTGCTCCTCCCTTCCTTCTACCCGGGCAATAGACATGATGGCAAACAAAGAGGCAGTGGTGGAGAGACTCCTCCGAATCATTGCAGACCTGGTGAAGGACTCACTCATATAAACCTATCCGTGGGGTTCTCCATGAAGAAAGGCCTTTTTGACACTATCACAAAGTGCTTTGATGAATTTGGCCAATCATCGGGGCAACAAGTAAGTCGGCCCAAATCCCAACTTTTGCTTCTTTCACAAGAAAATCCATCACCCCATGGAATACATTCGCTATTTAAATGGCTTCTGCGGCACTCTTCTAAAAGCCTTGATTTTGAGAAGGTTCGAATCCAAGACAATTTTTAACAGATTTAGTTAAGAGGAATCTGCCTGGGGCTTGCTATTTGCCGCCAAACAAATTGCTATTTGCCGCCAACTAAAAAAAAAAAAAAGTATATATGTACATCTTTGGTTAAGAAATTTCACAATCTAGAACATATCCAACTTTCAGAAAACGTATTGAATCAGAAAAAATCGACGCTCGCCGGAAAACCATCGGGAAAGCCCATCCTCGACGTAAACTGCGGACACGCATCCATGAATCATCACTAAGCAGGTGCGTCAACCTCCCGTCGTCCTCAATCGTCGGAAAACAAGTAAGTTTACTTTTTCCGGCAAGTTTTTCAATTTTCCGGCAATTTTTCCAGTTTTCCGGCGAAAAACACGGTGGGCCGAAAAAAATTTGCGGCCGGTGCGCCGCCGGGCCGAAAAAATCTTGTGGCCGGTGCGCCGCCGGACAGAAACTTTTTTGCGGCCGGCGCGACGCCCGGCCGAAATATTTTTCGGCCCGTCGTCGCCCCGGCCGCAAATTTTTTTCGGCCGGTCGCCGAACGCGCCGCCGTGAATTTTTCCGGCGGCGCGTTCGGCGACCGGCCGAAAAAAAATTGCGGCCGGAACGCCGCCGGGCCGAAAGAATTTTTCGGCTGGCGTCGCGCCAGCCGAAAAATTCTTTCGGCCCGGCGGCGTTCCGGCCGCAATTTTTTTTCGGCCCACCGTGTTTTTTCGCCGGAAAACACAAAAACTTGCCGGAAAAAGTAAACTTACTTGTTTTCCGACGATTGAGGACGACGGGAGGTTGACGCACCTGCTTAGTGATGATTCATGGATGCGTGTCCGCAGTTTACGTCGAGGATGGGCTTTCCCGATGGTTTTTCGGTGACTTTTCCGGCGAGCGTCGATTTTTTCTGATTCAATACGTTTTCTGAAAGTTGGATATGTTGTAGATTGTGAAATTTCTTAACCAAAGATGTACATATATACTTTTTTTTTTTTTTGTTAGTACATATATACTTTTTTTTTTTTGGTTGGCGGCAAATAGCAATTTGGTTGGCGGCAAATAGCCGTTCACATCTGCCTTGCTATCTTGGCACACACTGAGTAATTTATGATGACAATTAGTTTCCAACATTTTCTAGTGGCATCGAAGAGAGACAAGTCAAGCCAATTGGTCAGAAAAACCTACAAGAACAACAAATATCCACCAGACGTCAAACATCGTCGAACAAACAGCAGTCACCAATAGGGATGGCAATGGGTCGGGTTGGGTCGGGTGTTGCCAAACCCAAACCCAAACTCATGGGTTTATCTTTGAAAAAAAACCAGGGGTAAAACCCACTGGGTTTGAAAAACTCAAACCCAACCCAACCCGTTGGGTATCCGCGGGTTCATGGGTACCCACGGGTTTTGTCGTAAAAATTTACAATTACAAGTTCTTATCAAAATTAAAGTCAAATATCAATCTCTCAATACAAATTATCCATATATAAAACACCATTCTAGAAAATTCAAGCAAATCACAAATTAACTATACAAATTGTTCAACACCAATCTAGAAAACTCAAGAAAATTGAAGCAAATCACAAATTATCCATAAATAACATGTTTAATTGAAAGCTTCTTCCTTTCAATTAAGTTTCTTTACTCTCCACTCCATAACATCAACTTCATTTTACACAATTAAAAAGAAAAAATTAGACATGTCTCCACAAACATAAACAAGATTAGTTGTTTAGAATATTAAATATACCGAAAAAATTAATTATATGGGTGGGCGGGTACCCACGGGCCGGATTTACCTAAACCCAAACCCAACCCAACCCGGTGAATAGTGAACGGGTTTAAACCCAAACCCGGCCCAAAACCCAAACCCGGCCCAAAACCCGTCAACACGGATTTTACCCGCGTTGACCGGGTTGAGTCGGGTGGGTACCCGTGGGTTCGGGTTTTGTTGCCATCCCTAGTCACCAACTCCATCGAATTCGCCCTTCCACCAACCTAAGATCAATGGTGCCTTCCCCCCTCCTTCTTCCTCTTCTTCTCACTCGTCGTCATCTGTGAGACACAACATCTCCCCGAAAGTGATATGCTGAAAATTACGGCGGTGCAGCCTGTAGAGAAGGAGTTGTTCCTCCAACGACACAACAGAATAATAACAAGTCGCGGCGGCGCTGGCCATGGGAACCGCAGAGGATACATGAGCTATTGGCAGCAGGCAGTTGGCGAACAGGGCAGTAGCGGCGGCATTTGATGAACTTGCACTTGATACTCCGCTGCAGCCATCGCCGTCCGACGACATGTGATTTCTGTTCACAGCCTCGATGTCTATCTCAAACAGTTCATCCTCCTCCTCCTCCTGCTCCGCAAACAAATCTGCCGGCTTGCTTCCATCGCCTTTGATCGCCATCACTTCCATCTCCTGTGATATAATTAAGGAGTGACAAGAGAGACTTTATATATGTAGAGGGAGCAGGCAGAGGGAAAAGGTGGTGAACTGGTGAGGTAAGTCTAACCACTCATCCGACGCGTTAGGTGTCATTTTCCAACAAGTTAAAAATGGTCTTTGACAAAAACTAAACCTCTCTCTGTGCTCGTCAAAGTCAATCTAGGAAGGAGCTAGAGCTTCCCGAATTGGGATAGATTTTGTGTGATCCGTTTGGTTTCCGGATTCCGCACACACAAAATGATGCCAGTCCACCTACCTCACCAGAATCGTCACGGTTCTGCACAACCACACAGAAAATTATTCATTGACTAGTTGCAGAGGACATGAGCCAGGGAAGAAGGCCACCTATATCAGCTTGCTGTTCCAAAACACCAGATTCTCCCTCCTTTCTTACACCCTGAATCGTTTATGTACTCGTGCGGATCAGCCCATCTACCTAATAGCCAAATTACATTGACAAATACAATTCCAGTTTCTCCTTTCTATTTTCTTTCATGCATTTCCTCGATAAAATTAATTGAATTCTACTTGATGGATAAGCTCCGTTTGATATAAATGATCCATCCCTGGTTAAACTAAACAAGGAGACGCAACTCTTGGCAAGCGAACGAATGAGATTATCGGATTGTTTTTCCGATTCAATTCATCAATAATCAGCAGGCAAAGCTTAATACTTGAACTTGAAATTCAACAAATGCAACAGAACATAAGTCGTCTATTCACTTCTTCTTCACACCTCCAGCAAACAAGGAAAGGTTCAGTCCGTAACAAGGAAAATCTGGAAATATGAATACTCCAAGGTAAGTAACCGTTTCCCATCCAGGAAAATTTGGTGAAGAAGAAACTACAACACGACATTTTCTTGTACTTAAAGAAGAAATAACCCAGCAGATAATTTAGTATTCAATTGACACCACTGACATGTCATGCATCTTATATATGTATCCACTTCTAAGCTGTTTAAGTGAAAATGCCAGAGTTGTATTATTTCCAACAAGCTAACTAATGAGCATGTCTATTGTACAGTTTCGTTACAATTTTATCGGATGTCCCCGAAGGGACATGTCTATTGTTCAGTTGTACTGCGTTGAAAATCATATAGAGTTGTGCAACAATAAAAAACTGGCACAGTTGATCACTCCTCGTTCATCTAGGACCAGGCACTCTGTGCTAAAGCAATAATGGAAGAATAATGAAGATACCCCTGATACAATAAAAACATCTGAAAAGCACTGATCCTAAAACTTCTACGTTTTCGAACTCTAAAAAAATATACGTTTTGACAACAATCCTTATTCCTAGCACCAGTACATCATAACTAAAGCAAGGCCATATATCCCAACTACATTCTCACAAAACAGACTGTTCTGATGTCATGAACAAAAGATGTTTACAGAAAATTCTTAGGAACAAGCAAAGAAGATAACCCGAAATTCATGTTAGACTAGGATGGAGAAATAACTAGGATATGGCAGCTCCGTTTCTTTGTCAAGTAACACATTACTATGTCAACCTATGATGAAAACCTAACACCATCCCACAACAAACACTAGAATGCCTACGGATCGGAAAAGCAAACCAGTGGAGCACTATCAGATCAGAATATAGAACACCCCAAGAACAATCATAAGCACTGAACCAAGCAAAATCTAGTGAACCATCGTTCAGCACATAACAGTCAGCAACCCTGAATCAATTCTACAAACTCTGGCGTACATCAATAAGACAGATACTTCAAACAGGCAATCCCTATTGCAGAAGTCAGAATGCAAACCAAATAATGTGTCAAGTTAGCAGAGCACCCCTTCATACAACAATTCTAATAAGCAAGTAAAGAACAGATAACTCAGCAACCTCAACATCAACCCTAGTATATCCCAGTTTAGTAAAACACAAACTACTTGTCATCCTTAGTTCTCAGTTCACACGTAGATAAGGCCAAAAAATGACGATATCAAGTACCAGGTACCAGCATTACAACAATTCTTTCTCATTTCGAATCTCCATAAAAAAGTTCAGTGCCAAGCAAAATACCACAGAGAGAAACAACATTGACGTTTCCCAACATTAAGAATTAGGCCATCTACAGGTAAAATCATCAACTCCATCTACTAAGGCCATCAAAAGCACGAAAGACCAAAGTCATCCATGAACACATGTAGCAAGAAAAAGAATTCCCAGCACTACTGAAATTTCATTAACTAGAAAACAAAGAGAACTTTCAGATGCCGGCCCCCATATAATCTACAAGTTCTGCGCTCTAAAATATCACAAGCAACGAAAACAGAGTGTAAATCAAGAAACAAGCGTACGCAATCAACCCACGATGTTCTTCTCCGCCTCTGGCCACTGCCACCATGAGATTGGTGCAAGCCCTGGTTGCCCAGATCACGAAAACTCCAGATATTACGAACCTGATACCCCCGCCCTGTGGCAAGAAAAGAGAAATTGCTGATAGCATCACCACCGGAAGCAAACAATAGCCAACCACGCTCGTGCAAGAGTGCAGATCCAAATTCCCGTTCCTCCCCGCGAGCATGTTGAATACAACGTATAAGAAAATCGAAGACACAACAATCCACCCTAGAATCACCCCGAATTGAATCTTCCCGGCGAGCAACTGAAAAAGGCAGAGCGAGATGTACAAGAACATCGGGCCAGATAGATCGGAGTCCATGTGAACGTCGGAATTAACCCGGAAAGGATTCAGTATCGATTTCGTCTTCCGCAAGATTTGGTCAGGATGGATACCGAGCTCGTCGAGAAGAGGCGGTTCTTCATCGAAATTAGCAGCGGAGGGAACGGGGCCTCCACCGATGGCGCCGCTGCCGTAGGAGGCGGTGGGAGCGGAGCCGATCTCGAATGACATGAAAGGGATTCCGGCGTTGGAAGTGCGAGGAGGGAACGGCGCCGTGGGGACTCGCCGCTGCTGCATATTGGCTCCGCCAGTGACAATCGGATTGCCGCCGGATGGGAAGATGACGGGTGGCACATTGAATTCCTTCGTCATAGTAGCGGGGAGCAAATCACGAAGGCAAAGTGAATCGCGACTGTGATCGACGATGGAGGGATTCGGAAACTTCTCTGATGCGGTTGCCTAATTTGAGATCGGAATTTGTGGTTTAGGGTTACAGTTCTAGGAGGGAGGGGGGAAATGAAGAATTGAAGGGAAGAAGAGGACACGATGAGAGTGTCAGAGTTGTGAAAAGAGGAAGGAAAAGAAAAAAAAAATATGGCGACTCCGGACTCCGGAGGGTAAGAAGTAAAAAAGGAGAGAGACAGGGGTATATTGGACATTCCAGGTGTAGAAGCTCGGTGCAAACCACAAGGGATCATTCTTCGACGCGCGGGATTCGCCGTGTTACGTTGTCGGGGCATGGAAGTATGGTGAAATTACTAGTCTGCTCGTCTTTGAAATGCGCTCGCTCTAGTCTAGAGTCCAGTCTCTTCTCCTGTCAAAAAAAAGTAGAAAACTAAAAATAAATAAAGAGTAATTTACAAATTTAGTCACTCGGATTACTAAATTATTTCATCTATTCCACGAAAAATATTGTATTCCATTTATGGTCACTCAAATTAGTTCAACGGTCCAAAGTTTGGTTACTGGTCGTTACCTTCTGTCAGTCTTCGTTAATGGGATCAGTTTTTTGCTGATGTGGCTAATAGAAGTCTTAATCAGCCCATTTTTGCCCGAAAAAATCAAAACTTGACCCACCACATCATTAAACCCCATCTTTAGGATTCTCCTCAACAGTCCCAACCTGCTTCTTAGGAACCCATTTCTACGCTTCTTCGCTAGCCAATCGCAGTCATGCCCATAAGTCTCACATATCGAGCAAGCCAGAGGTATATTCAGATACTCAATCTCAACTTCGAAAGAAGGGTCATCATCCAAGTACAATCAAACTATTTCAGGGAACCCACAATCTGCAGCAAGATCAAAAAAACTGTCCCAAAACCCAACTGACCTCCCAGTCGTGCCGTTTGATCCATCCACGGAGGAGAACCCAGAGTGCTCACAATCCATTCATGACCTTCAAACGAGTGTTATTCATGCGGAATACCTTAGATCCGAACCCAAATTGGTAGGGATTCCACCAAAGGCGTGACCAACTGAATACCCGAAGACCACTTCCAGAAATAGACTGGATTACCCTGGAAATGCCAAGGGTCTGAACGAAACACCCATTTACTTGTTGCTGATGATGGGAACTGAAAAACCATAAGATGAGGCCCAAACCTTGAAACACGAACAACACCATCCCTCCCCCAAAGAGTCGTCGCCCATTGCTGAAGCGCCACTAGTTTTTGGAGGCAGACCAACGAATTGCGCAATCAAACTGTCTTTCTGGCATTCTTCACCACGCTTCTTCACTTCACGCGGAAGACGGAAACCATCCTCCTTCCTCTCCAGTGGGCGATAGGTCATCCGATTAGTCGGATCAACAGAGAATAGAGATGCCTAGGACATAACCGGAGCTGCCCCAGGCGGCGTTGCCACCATGAAAGGACCAGAGGAAAAAATCTAGAGAGAAAGAGACCGCCATCCAAAAAATGGTTATTTTATGAATGAAGAAGCCTCATTATTTTCTTATTGCATTGTTGGTTTAGTTGTATGTTTGCTCCACTATTAAAAGTTTGTCAAATTAGATTATCTGCATGAGTAGTGACTTTCTACATGAGATGGGTAGTTTGTTGAGATTAATCAGATTATACACAAAAACTTACATTTTTATGCTTTACGTTTTCATTCATGTTTCTGCTTCCGCGTAGAAAGGCGCATTTGACTACATTGGGTCCAGATAAGGTTTTCCGCCTAAAGCGCTCTTTGTATGGCCTTAAACAAGCTCCTAGGACTTAAGAAGTTCCAAGGAACTGTAATTCAGGCTGGGTTTGTGCAGAGTCAGAATGATCCATCTCTTTTCTTGCGGACTACATCATAGGGAATCACAATTATGCTCCTGTATGTGGATTATATGATCATTTCTGGTGATGATCAAGTCGGTATTCGATCCCTCACTACAGTTCTTCATCAAGCTTTCATACACAAATAGCTTTACGATATCTCGTACTTTCTGGGTCTGGAAATAAAGCGCAGTGATCGTGGACTCTTTGTCTGTTAGAAGAAATATGTTCGAGATCTCTTAGCCGAATATCAGTTTGATAATTGCAAATTGTGTGCAACATCGATGGAGAAAAACCTGAAGCTTTGCAGGAAAATTGGTGATCTTCTTGATGATGAAACTCATTACGGAACCATTATTGGGAGCCTGCGGTATCTCAGTTCTACGCGGCCAGATATAGCCTACGCAATACAGGTAGTTAGTCAATTCATGGGTATGGCCCGGACACTTCACAGTCTTCACCTAGATTTGGTTCATCGGATTTTGAGATATCTACAGGTATTACAGGCTCCTATTCTCGAATCCTATGCAGATGCGGGATTTTGCTGGCTGTGTTGATACACGGCAATCAAAGTTTGGTTGGTGTGTTAGATTCGAGTCTTTGTATCTTGGAGATGTAAGAGGCATGAGAGGGTATCCAAGACATCTACAGAGGCCGAGTATCAATCTATGTCAGAAGTTAGTTCTGAGCTTGTATGGTTGCAGCGGTAAGTCCTCGATCTTGGTGTCATGTGCGCCTAGCCCATGCGGTTGTTTGAGGATAATACTAGTGCTACCAGAATCACCACTAACCTTGTGTTGCATGATCTAACAAAGCACTTAGACACTCATATGCACTACATACGTCAGTTGGACACATAAAGCGTCATTCAGCTTAGTTACTTGTCAACATAAGATCAAACTGCAAATCTGTTGACAAAGGCGGTCAAACTAGTCATCATTGGTTTTGTCATGCCAATTGATATTGCGAAATCACCATCAATTTGAGGGAGGGTATTGAAAATGATGAAAAGTTAGAGTTTTCCTAGACTAGGGTTCTATGTAACCCCCAGCTTATATACATGTTTGTAACTTGCCTGTATTTCTTAATTAAGTTGAATAAAATTGACTCTAGAGAGTTCTACCTCTCCATACCACGTAAAATCTGGTGTTTGTTTTTTTTTTATTTTGCTCTTGTTATCATGAAGTACATGCTATTGATCACGAGGATACCCCGCCAGTTACACCGAGTGCTTACCTTCAAATTCAAATGAAGAATTCAACAAAGTGGTTAACAGGGCAATCTTTTCTCAATTTCTCAAAAAAAATTCTTTTGCTCCAATCTTTTCTCATAGCCCAGTGATACAATTGAAGGATACACCTATTAGAACGGGTCAAGAGGGACTCAAAAGTGTGAAGAGGGTGCTACTAGTGCCCATGAAAAAAATTGTGACTATCTCGTTTGGAATACGAGAGGCTTTAATTGCCCCTTGAAGCACGATGCATGCTGGAGTATGTTAGGAAGCATAGTGTTAGAATTCTAGCTTTATTGGAAACTGGGTTAAAAGACAAGAATGCTCAGAAGATAAAAGATAAATTTGAAGGATTCATTTTTTAAGATAACTATGAGGCTCATAATTTAGAGAGGATTCAAGTAGCATGGAAGAATGATGTCACTCACAATGCTATATGCTTCAACTAGTGAAGGTGAAAGGTTGATCAAATTTAGTAGGCTAAATAGATGGGTTGTTAGGGGCTTTCCTAGGATGATAAGTGATGATATTAGTGCCAACCCAATAAGTATCTAATGGTAGGAGGTCGGTCGGTTCGGTTATAACCGAAAGGCAAAAGTTTGGTTATCGGTTAACCGAACCACCTCTTCTGCCTATCGAACACCGACCGAGAGGAGATGATCGATTAACCGACCATCGACCAGTCGATTATCGGTTAGTGGGTCGGTTAGCTAATGTAACCGAAATTCTGGGTGGAGAGGGTCGGCGGGGGTCACGGGGGAGGGAGATGATGAGATGGCGGGAGTTGATTGATGTCGGTGGGGGTTGCTGGAGCCTACGGGGGAGGGCAACGATGGTGGTTTCTGGATCTGGGAGGTCCGCGGGGTCTCGCAGGGTCAGGCTGGTGGCGGGGGAGGGGTCGGTGGTCAGGGGCGGACCCAGGGGGCTTTAGGGGTGTCCCCGGACACCCCTAAATTTCGGAAAAATGATTATCCAACCCCCGGTGATAATTTGCGTATAGACAAAAAAAAAATATAATTGATAGTAAGGGACACTCCTGAAATTTGAAAAAATGATTATCCTACTGTCATTTGTGTATAAAAATATAAATGGTAGGTTGGGTAATACAAATCTAGAACACTATTATTATTAATAAACTTAATTTCCGTTGAGCTACAACTCATTTGTTGTTCGATTTTGAACAATGTGTAATAGTAAAAAAGTCATTCCCTATCTCTAATTATTTCAATCTAAACTAATTTCAATCTACCCTTAATTTGTATTGATTTTATGATTGTACGGCAAGTGTTGAAGAGTCTTTCAGTTTTGGGTTACATCAAGAACAAATTTACAAATCAAATATGCGATAAGTTCCTGAATGATTGTCTAGTAGGGTATATAGAGAATTTTTTTAACACTATAAACACCAAGTGTATTCTACAATTATTTTCGAATATGAAAACACATCATTGACTTTTTTAACCTGTACGAGTAATGTATTTTCATATTTACAATTTTATTTTTATTAATTATTTTTTTATTTAATTTATTTTTTAAAAGAGGACACCCTTATGGAAAATTTCTGGGCCCGCCACTGTCGGTGGTGGCTGGCGGTTGTCCAACTACTTTGATGGTTTCGTGGTGGCTGGCTGGTGGCAGTTTGGGGTTTAAGCATTTGGTGATTCTTTTGTTGTTGTGTTTGTTGAGTATTAAGAGGGTAGGGTGATAACTAATAAGGTAGTTGTAGGAGGGTGGAGGGCGGCGGGGTGGAGGGGGAATGGTGAGGGCGGAGGTCGACAAATAGGTAGGGTTTGGGGAGGTTTTTTTATTTTTTTTCACTTTTCCATTATTGAAACGACATCGTTTGCTTCGTTTGCTTGGTTAACCAAAGCTAA